TTACAATATCAAATAAATTTATATTCCATTTATTTTTATGTTTTAAAAATATTTTTTTTTAATTTTAAATTATTATTTTTTAAATAATTTTTTAAAAATTATATACTAATATTAAAAATAAATTTTAAAAATTAAAAAAAATATTTTTTAAAAATAATTCAAAAAATAACAATACATCGAAACCAAATAGCATATTAATAGAATTGGTTACAAACGGAACCGCGTAACTAGCTGCTCTTCTACACAAGTGATGACAAATAGAAAAAAACACGAAGAGCCAGACGGACGGGCAACGGTTTGAAATAATAGCGAATCTCAACCGTCAGTGTGAAATAAAAATTAAAAAAACCACCCTGAATTCAGATTCCCGCCTCTTTAAATCCATGCTGATCTCTCACACATTTCGCATTTCAAATCAAAATCTCTCTCTCTCTCATCTCACTCATTCTCTATAACAAATTAACAAACACTAAAGTTGGAGTTTCTTCTACTGCAAACCAGCGAAGATGACTGCTACTCTTAAGTAAGCTACTCGATTAAGCCAATAATACTTTCTCACCTCCTCTGATCTTTAACTGTAGTATCATTGGATTGATTGATTGGCTGATCAGAGACATAATCAGTAGTGGTAATTATTACTAGTTCCTAAAGTTGTCTGTGCACGTGGTGGTTGTTTTTAGAGCTGAAGAGCAAAACCAGCTGCAGCTGGTGGAGCGAGAAGAAATGGATGACGAAGACGATTTGTTCGAAGCCATCGACAAGTGTAAGCTACAAATTATCAGCTCTCTTTCTCTCTCTGCTTCACCGATTGTTTTCTTCTTTCGATTCTCGACTTTCTTCGCCTTTTCTGCTTGCTTGTGTTGATTAATGTGCAAATGACAATCTGCCTTCTGTGCCCTAGTTGATTCTTAAATAGCAGCTCCAATTTCACTCATATATAATGGTTTTCTGTTCATCAACCTCGACTCTCGATTTCGCTCCGCCTTCATATTCAGTGCAATATTGTCGATGAATTTCACTTGATTTACTTTGAAGATTTAACTTATTATATTTTATTGCTCAATGCCCAGTCTCCTTGTTTGTAAATTGTGATGTATGCAGTGATCAATCAAGGTATTAATGCTGGAGATGTCAAGAAGCTTCAAGATGCAGGCATTTATACTTGCAATGGCTTGATGATGTTCACGAAGAAGGTATACAAGTTCCGATACTGATCATTTAAATTTTAGGTGTTTTAGCACCATCTGATTGCGATTACCTTGGTTCTATTCAGAACTTGACAGGAATCAAAGGTTTGTCTGAGGCTAAAGTTGACAAGATTTGTGAAGCTGCTGAAAAGATAGTGGTCTGTGCTTAGTTTATAGGATATTAATCATCATCTATTTTTAAGCTTTATTTTATTGCGCTGTTGAATTCGTTTTTTTTCTTGTCAGAATTATGGTTATATAACTGGAAGTGATGCTCTGCTCAAGGTAAGTTTAAGTTCCTCTTGCTTTTATGAATTGAGGAGATGCTCAAATCACTTATGATTGCTTTGTTCGAATCATGTAGTTCTAGCTTCTGATTTGTATCACCTTTTTAAGTTTAAATCTCATTATTGTTTTATCCTGCAGAGGAAGTCCGTGATTCACATCACAACTGGAAGCCAAGCCCTGGATGAACTCTTAGGAGGTAGTCTTATCACTTTTAGATTCGCTATGTCTGTGTTAGTAGTGTATATGCTTTCTGATAATGTGCTGCAATTTGTTTTTCTGTAATTGTAATTGGTATGATCATCTTGATTTATTTGAAAAGGTGGGGTTGAGACTTCGGCTATCACAGAAGCTTTTGGGGAATTCCGGTAAGAACAAACCATCACACATTTTTTCCAATAAATCACAACATTTTCTGTTGGCATCTTCTCACACATCCTAAAATCTGTCTACCTCTACATTGACCATTGCAATATTATATTTAGGTCCGGGAAGACACAGCTTGCTCATACTCTTTGTGTCTCTACACAGGTTCCTCTCTCATTTTGCTCCTTAATAAGGTTGTTGGTGTAATGTCTGTGGCTGTGGTGTCTATGCTAAATGAGAATACCAGTTCTTACTTATCAGTGTTGTTAAAATATTATAATAGATGATGCTGTTTCAAGGAAAATTGGAATTGTCTTCAATTAGAAAAAGCACTATTCAGTTTTACAAAATCTGAGTTACAGAAATAGACAACATTGAATCACCCATCTCCGAATTGTTTCTGACCAAATTGGGGGCATAACACAATTTTCTTGACAATTATTTTCTAATAAAGAATTCCAAATCATGATCCAGTATCAGTTGTTTTTCTGATGAAGAAGTCCTTCAATGGGATTGCGAGTTACGATGTAATGATATTGTTGGTAGCACTGGCTTTGGTTTATGCAGACGCCTCATTATCTGGATTTCAGATTTGGAAATGACAATATGTGCTCTAAGCTTCGCAAAATATGCATTCCTATTGCCTTTGCAGCTTCCTACAAACATGCATGGTGGGAACGGAAAGGTTGCTTACATTGATACCGAAGGAACTTTGTATCCTTTCTGCTCGCACTTCCCTCTTAACATCTTGCAATATGCACAGTTCCTTATTAGCGAAAAATTTATGGAGAATTTTAACCATATGATGTCTTGCAGCTTCAGTGTTTCCTTAACTCTATGCTCTTACAGTCGACCTGATAGAATTGTTCCAATAGCTGAAAGATTTGGAATGGACCCAGGAGCTGTCCTTGACAATGTAAGTATGAATTTCTATCGTATTATTAATAGATTCATGGAAGAAGATCTCCTAGGTCAACCGTTTTCTCTGTGAATGTGGAAGATCATCTATGCCCGTGCATATACTTACGAGCATCAATACAACTTGCTTCTTGGTCTGGCTGCAAAAATGTCTGAAGAGCCATTCAGACTTCTGGCGAGTCTTTCCCCCTATTCTTTTAAGATTGATTTGCCTGCGATGCTTGTACTATGAGGCCTGGTGTAATGAAGTCTTTTTGTGTGCCTATGAAGTCAGATTGTCGATTCAGTTATTGCTCTCTTTCGGGTGGATTTTACTGGGAGGGGAGAACTTGCAGAGCGTCAGGTGAATTCCAAACTTTCTCTAGAGTTCCTGTAAAATCATATCCGTATCATGTCTTTTCAAAGACATTAACAGCTACCCTTTTCAGCAAAAATTGGCTCAGATGCTTTCTCGGTTGATAAAAATAGCTGAGGAATTTAATGTTGCAGTCTACATGACCAATCAAGGTATCTTGACTTGCATATTATCATTCATGGAATTTAAAGATAACAATCCACACAGCATTGGATCCGTTGTTATAAAGTCTTCTTTCTTGTAGCTACTTGATTTTTGTTTCCACAGATCTGACACCTACAACCTGCAGCTCTCTGGAAATTATGTTGGTGCATTACTCACCAAGTTTTCTTGTTATTCTGTCAGCAGGCATACTTCTATTTCTAGTTGTTGCATTTTAGAGATGAAATAAAACATCAATTTGTTGGTTGCAGTCATAGCTGATCCAGGTGGAGGAGTTTTCATATCAGACCCGAAAAAACCAGCAGGAGGGCATGTGCTTGCTCATGCAGCCACTATCAGGTTGATGTTCAGGAAAGGCAAAGGCGAACAACGGGTCTGTAAGGTGTTTGATGCCCCAAATTTGCCCGAGGCTGAAGCAATATCCTTAACCTTGGTACCATTGGTTTGGCTTTACCTATTGATTTTGGTTTTAATTAATCATGTTTCCATGAAAAAATGATACGAGGTGGTTCTACTTCGATAAAATGACAAAAAGGTGGCTGAAGTAAAATCCAAACTATAATAACGCATCAATATATTCTCTGATCCTAATTTCCAACCAAGTGTTAAGCTATTCTTAACAGAAGCACGTATTTCAGATAACAGCAGGAGGCATTGCAGATGCAAAGGACTAACAAGAAAGGTCACTGCTAGAGGTGCTTCAGCGTAACTATAGGAGTTAGTAGTAGAATGTCTCATTTCCTGCTATCTACTCGTGGGTAGCAGGGCTGCAAAAGATGGTATATCTGTCGGATTAAGCTTCCTTCTCTGTGCTCTACATTTATCCTGACCCCGTTGACCATGTTTAACAAGAGATTTACCAGCCTTTATAAGTAAAAAAAGTGCCAATGATAATATCCCACCTTTCTGGATGTTGTTTTAAATGTTTTTCACATGGCTGTTCTTGTTCATGCTTCGAGTTTCTCTACCTCTTCGGCAAGTGTGAGCTAGACGTAGAGTGTAGCAGCATTCTAGATTAGTTTTTGAAGTCGGGCCCTCCTAAACAAAACAAGTCCTTTGATTAGAAGGCACATCCATGCCAAACCAAACAACACGGGGGCCTTGGGTTACGTGTTTTAATTCAAGCTTTTCTCATGAAACTAGTGTAAAGAGTGGACTATCAAATAAACTAATGGCTTGCAAAGAGTAATGACCATGTAGGTTAACGTCTGACGAGTTAGTCGTTCATAGAGGTCACAGGGACAAAATGTCTGCGCCCAACAGAAAACAATGCAAGCCTTTTCTTCCAAGCGTGCATCAGTTTTTTTTTTGTTCTTTTTCTTTAAATCTTGGCCATTTGAGAAACAAATTATTGCAAGAGGGACCTTAAAAGTTGATTTATGTTATCTAATTATCTGTTTCATCTCCTATTCATATTTGGCTCCCAAAATATTTGATCTTCATTTGGTCACCAATACAGTGCAGCATAGGAGCACATCCAGGACTTTCTTTTCTGCGCCAATCCAGTCTCTTCCTTTGTCGATCATTTAGGCCAGGATTTGCCAAAATTTTGTAGGCACACACAGTACGTATAAAAAATGACATCCAATGGAAGAAGCAAATCGAGCAACAAAGAAATACTCATCCAACTTTCCATGAAAAGAGAATTAATTATCAATCAGGAAACTAACACCTTGCAAATCTTTTATGTAATGTGTAAATTTTATTTTATGTTATTTCCACAAAGGTCAATTGTCTTGTTCATTGAAAGACTAATAACAGTATGAAATTCGGGACACATTAGCGCAGCAGCGTCGAGAAAGATAAGAGATAAAGTGGAGGATAAAGAAAAAAGATACGATCCAAAAGAAGGCCACCTAATAAGAAAAGCCTTGCCATACACGGACCTAGGAGCTCAGTAGTTTGAAGACCAGTTGTAAGAACTACCAACTCTTGGCATGCCAACTGATTCCTTCTTAGTCTCCGCATCCACCTTGAAAGTAGCTCCGCAGACCTGGCCAGAACTGTCCACTCTTGGCACTGGCTTCAACTCATTCAGTGGGTGCTCAAAGCTCCTCAAACCTCCAGAAGTTGTAAAGAAGCATCCTGAGAAATAAAACAGAAACTTTTAGATTATGAAATGGGTAGGTAGAGATTACCTAAGGGCACGAGACAAATCAAAGGAACTCAGCAAAATAGCCTTGTAACTTCGGGAGAGGGGGGCCTCCATCTATCCTTGTGCTCATATATCATAAAGGATCCCATCAATGCCAAGGGAGTTTGAATGGGCCATCCAAAAGTTCGAGGGATTAGAAAACAATAAAGAGAAAAATAAATCATCACAGAACTTTCCTACATAAAGCTATATAACCAGAAGGGTATTTTGACCCTAATTTTCAGCCCATCATGCAACATGGAAAGTGAACAGAACACCTACAACCAAACAAAAAAAGGGAAAGAGCATCATGAATATATACTCTTCAAAATTTTAATGCACCAACATTTCCCACATTGCTGGGTTCTCCAATGTACATGAATACTTGTCTCCAAATACACTCGAAGTACATTCCAGTGCCCATCCATGTGTTGCCCTTGAGATTTTTTTGTATACGTCCTCACCACTCTAAGGACAATTTAACCATGCAAAAAGAGGCAGAGATAGATTGCTATAGATCACAAGCATGATGATCAAACCAGAATCAAAAGTTTACCTTTAGGGAATGGTGCAAAAGATTTCCCACAGCCTTTCTGCACAATCTGAACATCATCTGAAAGAACGAGATTGCCTTCACAATCAGTTCCCCAGAAAAAGGGTACACTTCCATCAGCATCCTGCAAAAAGGTATACTTAGCATGATTTAAGCTGCTGGAAACAGATAGACGAAGAGATCAGAAACAAAAATTAGAAGGACAACCAACAATACAGGAGAACATTCCAAGCAGAAAGGATCACTTACAGCAGCAAAAAATGTGGCTTTTGAAGTGCTGTCATATAAAATAAAAGCAAATTTTCCTTGGATGTCTTTCACAACCTGATCGGCAGGATAAGGGCCTCGATCTCTGAGAGTTCTGTAAGCTTCAATGACAACGATCACCTCATTTGCAGTTTTATTTAAACCATACTGCTGCTTGAGAACAGCAACATTATCTATGTGGCCTTGGAACAAGCAGAAAATGTCATCCACAACCGCAAACAACCTAGCCAGAGAAAAGAGGCATTACCAATGTTATGCACAGATAACACTAGCTAGAGATTTACAGAAATACATCTTTCTAAATCCTACATAACTCTCAACAAACACATGGCTAAGAAAATCAGACTTGGCCCTTTCTTTCCTGCAAAAAAATGGATTGCAGACCACATTAAGCAAGCCCTTAATTTACATTCATAAAGGAGTCAAAACTATCAATCCAAGTAACAGATCTAAGTTGCATGATTAAAATAACACAAAGAGAAAAGTTTTCATACAATAATTAAATGAATAACAAGATCTGCTAAAAAAGTCGATAAAAGTTGAAATTTTTTCCAAGCAAATTACCACAAACCATAACACAATCGCGCAGAAAAACTAGTACCAAATTTCTTCAACCTAAAATCCCATAAAGCTAAAACTCAAACATGAACAAACCTCAAGCGAACAAGACTAGATCAATCCCAAAAATCAACCAAAGAAACCAAAACAAAAACATGGGTCACATTTTTAAAGGGAAAACAATACCTTGGAAGAAAAGGGTTTTGCTTTTCAACAGAGTGAGAAATGAGACCAGAAGTGCCAAGATTGACAGTGACGGAGCCAGGGTGCAGCAAGGCAAAGTGGTTAGCCAAGAAGCTGTCTTTCAATGCAGAGGATGCTGGGGTAGTGTGCGGACTCTGTAAAGCATCAGGGCATTTTGCAACCGTATTGTCAAAAACCGCCAACATTTCTTTTGCCTTTCCTGTCTTTGATTTGTGAAAGGGAGAAAATGACTGATTTGTATGGAAGGATTTAGTGAAGGCAAAGAGAGTGAAAGGGAGCGAAGTGAAGGTTAGTGATTGACGAAATTGTCGTTTGCAAGTATTTCTTTATTGACGAAATTGTCCTTGTACTGTGAAAATTGTACGGAATCAATTCAGTGAAATGATCATTATTCCTGAAAAAAATAGTAAATTATTTGATTTTATTTAGTTTAATTCAAATCAGTAATAACTAATTATTAAGTAAAACGTGTCATGATTTGACGTGTTTTTTTAATTAGGGTTATATATACACGTGTCATGTGACAATTAATTACTAGTAATTTGGGTTAATAGATGAGTTGCATTAAATAAAAAAATGTTCAAAGATAGGGTCACATGGCCTTCGGCTATAACGATGGATCCTTGCATCTGAGCATATTCAGCCCTGCGCATGTTAATTGGCATGTCCCCGCTGAGATCTGAGCATGAGCTCGTTTTATATTTGTGTTGTAAAAAGTATTTTTTAAAAAATTAATTTTATTTTTTTGATATTTTTAGATTGTTTAGATAAAATAATATTAAAAATAAGTTTTTAAAAATTAAAAATATTATTTAAATTCATTTTCAATAAAAAACACACACAAAAAAAAAACAACCATTATCCTCGTGGCAAAATTATCTTAAGAGCACACGCATTTGGTCTTCCTAGAAGTGTAATGCCGCTGATTCATAAACAAGCAGGCTTTCAACTTTTTATATCCTCCCCGTTCAAGAGAGTGGGAGAATTATGAATTCCAATGCAGGTCCATGGTTTTGCATTTCCAGGGCCCAAAGAAAGCCGCCTCCTAGATGGTGGCCTTTGCAGATACACAATCCGTCAACATGTCAAAGATTTCAGTGTTATAATAGATAGAACCAAAGATGAGAAGAGTTGAAATAAACATGGGCTAAACCTGTCGCGTAGCTGAAATGCAAGAACCGAACGCCATTACCCAGAAGACCATACATTGGTGCAAAAGTTGTCTAAACTCATATATTATCTTATCAAACTCAGCCTCTTATAGCTCAACTGTTAATATAACTCAATCAGGGCTCAAACCCTGTTATATGCCACTGACTTGCTGAAGAGACGGCGGATATATACTGCTTGGAGTGTGCTGCCACCGGCCATTAAGAGGTACTCTCCAACCGTGTAGGCTACGACACGCCTTCTTGTGCTCTCACTGGCCGCAGAAGAAACAAATGATAGCTAGCAATAAATCTTCAGCAAATTGCTATTGTATGGAAATCTAGCTCATAAGACAGTCTTGTCATGTTGAAATAATGGCATCAGTGTATCCAAAAACCGAGTACACGATACGCTAAACAGGTTTTTCTCAGAATAAAATGACTCAGCTACATCTGCAGGATGGTATTCATGCATATTTATCTTCCTTCTCATCCTGGCCCTATTATGAAATGTTACTGTTTAATTCTTCCCTTTAACACACGGTCGAAGAAACTCTGGGAAAACAGCATGCCCTGTCGCTGTCAGGATCTTTTACTTTCAAGGCATAGATGTACACGTTTAATCTTTGATGATACTAAATAAGGTATTAACAAAAGCAAAGAGAGATATTAAAGTACCATTGAATTTGAGTTGAACTAATAGCCACATAATCAAGATGTAGAAGGAATAGGAGATGACCATAAATTTTAACAGAAGGGGGAATTATTTACAATTCCTTCAAATTCGATCCTGCTCCTCTGCATTAGAATATAATTTTAGTTTAATATGTTTTTTTTTTTTTAGCTCAACGAGCTGTTATTATATTTATGTAAATATATATATATTATTAATAAAAGTTTAATTTATTTGTAATATTTATATAATATTAGATAAATAAATCTAATATTTGATTTATGAATTTAGAATAAAGATAAAGTTTACAAGAAAAAAATAATTTGTAAAAAAAATTATAAAATTATTATAATTATGGTATTTCTATTGCATCAAAACATTGTTCTTAAAAAGTTTCTGGTCGATGCTCTCTTAAATATTAGATATTTATTAGAGTAGTAGAAATTAATACATATTATGTTATTTATTTTAAGAAATGAAATAATTATTTTCATACTCTGATGTATAAAGGATATTTAGAACTAATATATAAATACATGTCATAAGATATTTGAACTGACCCGTGTAAGAATTTCATATGAAAAGATCACCTATCTTTAAGGAAAAGCTCATGCGACAATTGTGTAATTAGATTTGAAATCATTAAGTTATTATATATATAAAATATTATACTTTGATCATATTATATATTATCTTAATTGAGGTAATTAATAAATGGAAAAATATTGGGTATAATATGAATTATATAAAGGTACTTGAGTAATCAAGAGAGAATTCATCACCTTAGATGAATTGAAGAAAATATTATATTTGTTCTAAAATAGTATTAACTAAAAAATCATTGGTTAAAGTGGAATGAGATTTGAAAAGAATTCAAATTTTATTTAAATGATTAATAACTATTATGTAAAGAACAAACATGATTTAGCATGGAAGACATAATCTTTACTTTAATATCAAATCAAAACATTATCAATAAAAGGATATTAATTACACTAAGAAAACGATCACTAAAAAGTTAAGTCAAACCACCAATGATTTTTTTAATATTTAGGGGATTATGATATGTTGCTAAACAACACATCTAATTCTCAAATATAAATTAATTAATTGTTGAATTGATAATACATTAATTTGTTGAATTTATTTAATTAAAATTATAATTTATATTTAAACCAACATATTAGAAAGCTGATGGGTCACATACATCATGAATAATTTGTTATAAATTAAACTAAGATAATTTAATTAAGTATGACTTGATTAAAATATATTTAAAAATTAAGAATTAAAATATAACCAATACATGTATTATATTTTTAGACTAAGAAAAATCAAATAAGAACTTAATTGAATTAATTTCTAAAATTATCCTGAATTAATATATAGATACTATTTAAGAAAAAAATAATATTTTATTAATTTATAAGGTTTTTAAAATTTCTTTATAAATAATGAACTATGCCTCTTTATTTTTTTATGAATGTCTGTTAGATAAAAAAATCTATTATAAGTCAAGCAATACTATTACTTTTACTTTAAGCATAAAAATTTTTATATTCTAAATGAAAATTTAAAAGATTTCTCACTTTAATTTATATGAATTATTATTAAAAAATAAAAATTAGATAGTTTATGGTATGTAATAATATAATATTTAAAGAAATATTCAGAATAAAAAAATTAAATTTTCAAATTATAAATCACTAAATAAATTTAAATTTATTTAATAAAATCTCCAAATAATTTCATTTTATTATTTTTATTTTGTGATCAACTAACGAACCAACAGACCAATTATGATATAGCATGAGAAGCTTTGACCAAAGGTTAATTGCACACGAAATATAATCATTACTTGAGTATGTTTATCTGTGTCAACAAATAAAAAAATATCATAGAAGGCGACTAATAAAATGTTGCAAGTTATAATCAAGGTTGTTTGCCATTGAAAAAAAAAGTAATAGTTGTTTGCCGGTCTTAATCCTAAGACGGCATCCATTCAAAGTCTGAAGTATAAAATTTATTTTTCATGTTCCACAACCATCATAAACAATAAAATAATAATAACAATGAAAGTTGGACAAAAGAGAACATAGCTGCATCAAATGTCTGATTGTGCAGGAACTTTTGCTATTCAACATTGTCTGTCATCCTTCTGTGGAAGCATCTTTGTTTAAGCTCTGTCTTCTTTTACCATGGAGGAAAAGCCCCATATTCAAATCCCAAGAGTGAAACTGGGCAGTCAAGGATTAGAGGTAAGCTTCTCATTTTACAATTAATTTATTTTGGTCAAAGTAGATCTAAGTGCAAAAGTTTTGCTGATTTCTCTGTGTTCAGTACCTGTTGTGGGTTCTTGATCCCCAGACTAAGATAAGAGGATAAATCTTGGTACCGACAGTAGCTATAGCTCAGAAGCCTGTATCAATAAAACATTACCATAAACTTCTATTCTATTTTTTTTAATAATTTTCCAGATTAATTTCTTCACTAGTTTTATAATTTATGGAGACAGGTGAGAAATTTTCATCAGTAAACCAATAGGTGATGAAGGCTGTCATATGACCTCAAAATGAAAAAATTAGCCCCTCCTTTTCTATACTTCTGAATTGCAATGCTTTTTTTTTTTGTGAGCTAAAGAATCCAGATGTTTGTTGAATAATAAGCTGAACTTGCTCTAACAAAACTGGAGAGAAATAAAAATAAAAAATGAAAGAAAGCTGAATAATGAAGAAAGACTGTCACTTTCTTGCTGATGAAAGGATTGCGTGTATGGCATATGACGAGGATGTAGCAGTCTGGTACTTCGTGGTATTTTTATTTTCAATAATCAGCTCTTGAGCACATGTATACATGAGAGTAAATAAGAGAAAACTTCTGAAATGTTTCTAGACAACCAAGAACAATCTTGACACAGATTTTGAGACAGAAAACTGATTAAAAGTTCCACTTGACAGAGGGGCATCTTGGCTTGTGACAAACTGTAGTCAGTGCAGTGCATTGATATGTCTGGAGAAAACTTGCATCTAAGATTCATGGAGTAATAGTGAATGTTTGAACTAGAATCATCATAATTACTATCCTCAATATCAGTCTTGATGATAGTCTGAAGGACCCAAAAATCCTTGCAAACTTACAGGAATCAAAACAGCATGCATCACATTTTCCAGATTATAGTTTTTTAGATCTTGTTGGTTATATGTAATTGTAAACATGATACTGGATTAATCCTGGAGAGAGATATGAGGTAAGTTGCAAAAACATTGCTAGTCGGTCAAATGGTCATTGTTTCTTGATAACTTACTGGATTTTTTATTCATAATTAAACCAGTGGTTTCCTACCAATGGCGCCCATTGCAGGTTTCCAGATTGGGTTTTGGATGTGGGGGACTCTCTGGAATTTACAATGCACCTCTCTCCCACGAAGATGGATGCTTAATTTTGAAGGAAGTTTATTCTA